TTCTTCCTCCTACTCCCAACTTTTCTCTTTTGGCCTCTCCTTCAGCCACCATTTCTGAACCATTCCCCCCATTCCGTATTGGTACAACACCTCATGACAAACACAAAGACTGGCATTTAGTGAAGCATCAGCATACATGATCAGCACCTGATTTTTCTATCTAGGCATGCATCACTACCCTTTCTTGTCAACAGTGTATATACTATGGATAACACAGCAAGAATAAACCCTGGCATTCCGATTTTGAATCAGGACAGCAGTCTTAGTTTGCTGTGATAGACCAACAACTTCCAATACCATGTGCTTTTCTGAATCTTCAATTTGATGCACAGAATATTAAGTGTAGTGAGGGAATTTCATCCCTGTATTCTATTAAATTCACAGGTAAAACTGACATCCACACAGGTGTCACAAACACACTTGAAAAGTTGCAACTCATAGAACAGGATCTCTGAAGCTGACTGAAGCTTAACACACAAGATGCCAAAAATGCACTGAACAACCCCACTCCTCTTTCTTACTAACACCTCAACACAAGCACACTTTTTTTCAGAGATGAAAAGCCCTGCCAAAAGCACTTAAGACTCAAGCTGCAAATAAAATTATGTGTGTAGGAAGAAGGAAAATGGGTGACGGAGAATTAGAAGAAAAACACTTTTAGATCATCACCTCGACTGAGCTCACAAAATCAAAGCATAAAACAGTTTAATTCCAAAACAGTTGTAAAAATCAGTCCAAGAAATCTGCTGTTTTCTGTAGGATTTTTGTTGAATTTACTGTGTTGAATACATTTTTGTTTATTGGTAACTCTTCCCAGTGCAGTACTAGTTCAAAAAAGCTTGAAATCTAGGTGGGAAGACAGGAAAATCCATCATTTGAAGCATTTTATCTTTAAAAAGGAGATTATGATGAGTTACTGACCTCACACCTTGTGTGAATTCAACCCAGCATATGTATCTGGCTAATTCTACACCTTGCTGTTCCTAGTGCAAAAACACTGTATGATGACAGGCTGGATGGCAGTTTATGGAACATCTGCATTAGTCAAAGCTGAAAATAAAAAAGAAGGAACTTCCAGGCTGAGGGTCTGAGCACCAGAACAGGAATTCCTTCATTTTTCCCTAGAACTACACATACAGAGTTTTTAAGGTCTTAAGTGACAGCTCATGAGTCCCAGCGTGAACTCCCCAGTTCTAGAAAGTTTCAAAGATCTTTTTTCTGATGGTGATGGGGCAGGAAAGAGATGAAAACCTGTCTGTCAATGGAGGGATATGTCACATGGGCCAAGGTGGTAGGAAAAAACTTTGATGTCTGTTGGTCTTAGGACCAATTTTAAATTAATTTCTTCATATGCAAATTCACAGGGGCTTCATCCATGTTAGTTGTTCTATAACTTAGTTGTGTCAGCTGACTTCACTGCAGCACTCACACCAGCCCTTCCACCACAGCATGGACCAAGTTACCCTGCCAGGCATCACACTGACCCACAGGCAGGAATTCAAAGCACTCTGGGCTGACTCATCACCCCAGTGTCATGGAAGAGAAACCACTGGCTGGTGAGCAGGCTTCTTACTGCCAATCCAGAAGATTTACATACATCTTTACATTAAAATATCCCAGTGGGAATCCAGGGCTAGATCTAATGACTTCAGGTGAAAATAAAGAAAGCTGTTACGGTCAGACCATTATTGTTCATGCTGCTTTGTGAATTTATTTCTTTAAATTTTCCACTTGTGCTCCTGCCAAGAGAGATCTATTAGACAGAAAGCAGCAAGAGTAAAACTTTATAATTTTGTTTCAAACTATAAAATAATTTACATCACATATTTTACTTACTTTTGTCTTTTTTTTTTTTTGTCTTTTTTTTTTTTTTTTTGAAACCACAAACATTCCAGCATCACACTGTAGGAATAAGAATAACAATAGAAAGCATAACCTTTTGCATAGTATTAAATGAACAGACAGAGTAAGTTCTTTATTTACAATTATTGTCTAGATAAAAAAATTCATAAAAACAGATGAATGAACATATATTAATAACCCCTAGTGGGATGGATTGCCAATGTACCACTGTATTGTTGTCCACAAATCTCATGCTGCTAAGTACAGTACGTAGAGAGCGAGCATTTATATATTGCAGGGAATTTTAACAAACTGATCATTTTGGTTTTTGATCCATTGTTCCCATCACAGAGAGGTCAAGCAATAAAAGAAAGGAATTGTGATGCACGACTCGTAGTTGAAAGGTCATTAGCTATTCTGCTTTAAAAAAAAAAAAGTCTATCATTTATCATATACATAAAGCACAGTCTCTGCTCACAAAAGCCCAAGTTTTCTATGCATCTCAGTTTATATATGTTGTACTATATATACACAGAATGTAGTGTTCATTTTCTTAACAGTTTTCAAGTCTGCAAATGGTACCTTAGGGAGGAGTACTCCTACAGGAAATGTAAAAGAAATTAAACCAAGAAACATGATGAGGAGTGTTTGAAAAGAAAAAGGCAAAGAGTCAGTGTTAAGATGCTGAAAATAAATCGTTCCAGTATTAATAGCATCTGTAGATGTTCAAGTCCAAAGCTAGAGGCTTCCCTGGAAATAGATAACACTTTTTTTTCTTCTGAATATGATATCCCAAATAGGCCATAGAAACCCAATACATGTTATACAAAGGTTAATCACCATATTTACAAAGCAAACAATCCTGACTGAGTTTCAATCACTTTGTTGCTAAGAGTTAGCTAAAATAAGTATGTTTTCATGCTAGCTTTTTTACTGTTAAGAAACGGGTCACACTATCTGTTGAAGAGAGAGTTGTACAAGCCTTCCAAGACCTGTTCTGGTGGTCAGTGAGCAGTTTGGATCAGAGAGCAAACTAAGACTTTGAGCCAAAAACATTCAAGCTTCTACACCAATGTCCAGAAGCTGGCAATTCAAGCTGATTAGAGCTTTACCTGGCTGAATGGTCTTGATGCACCCTGAAAACATTTTGGTCAGTTCAGTCTGCAGTTTGGCCATGAGTCTAATCTTGTTTTGGAGAGTTCTGGCTTGGTTTAGTTCTTGTGACTGCAGAGATGCACCACTTTAGGAGCCAACTTTAACACAACCAGTAATACCTTAACAAATCAATTTATCAAGCTAGTTGGAGAGTGTTTTTCAACACACCTGGCAGAATCAATTGTGTAATTCAAAATGTCTTTTGCACTGTACAATTATGGAAAAGATCATATGCTGAAAAGTCTCCAAGCAAATTTTATATTAAATACAAAAATTATTTATGAAAAATCTGTGATCCACAAAGTGCTTAGCATTCAAGTGGTTGACATAGCAATTCTATAAGCTCATAAATTTGAAATTATCAGGGCTGTTACCATCTTGAAAAATATTTTTCACCCTCCATACTGCAGGTTTTCAAAACAGTTTTCTTTGCAGAAAACTCAAGGTAAAATAATGTATTTCTGTATTACAGTACACCTTGTGACTACAGGAAGACAAGCTTGGTTAAAAAAAACCAAAACAAACCAAAACAAAAAACAAACACACAAAGCACATCTCAATATACAATTAATAGTTTCGTTCAGATTTGATAGTGCAGAAATTGTATAAAAAAAATAAAATCAAAGTAAAAAAAATAAATCAAAGTAACAACCTACAGTGATTTTTTCATCCAAAATGCCAACAGCCCATACTTTGCAAGTAATGAGGAAATAAATGCCTACATTACTAACTGAAAAGGATTAACACAATATCTCACAATATTTTAACATTAGTTTTATCTCCATATAGACAAACCAAATATAACTTATTTTAAATTATATTTATAAACTCAACTCAGTTTCATATAATATCTCTCTATAAATGTTTTTGGAAGCCATTGCCATATGTTTACAGAATGAAATAGCCTCCAGTATTATGTGCTGCACCAAAACAAATCGAAGCAGAGTATCAGAGAGGGGGGGGGAGAAAAAAAAGAAGAGAACCTGATAATTTTGATTTTTATTTGAAACAAAGGAAGCCTGTTTTACCTCCCTGTATATAGGATCACAATGCTACATCCAATGTGTTATATTTTGGCTTCTTTTGTAATTTACTAGCAGTTATCTACATTATTTAACAAAAAATAAAATCAGGCAGAAATCAGAACACGGTTGTAATAAAATATCCAGGGTGCAATATTACAGACGTTTTCAATGAGCTGAGCTGAGCCATTTTTATACTACTTCGGCAGGAAGTGCTTTCTTAACCCTACAAATAGTTAAGGATATTATCTACAGGTTTGTAAACAAATTACATTCTTTTTTAGGACATAAATAAGTTAAAATAGTCAGAGCAATTTGAGCAGAAACAAGGCAACATGCCAACAAAGAAACTTTATATATATATAACTATATATATATAGATAGATATATACATATATATAATTAATTCTGTATATTCTTATATGTATATATCTCTATATATAGTCTCATAAATGTTTAAGTTCCTCTGTCCAACTGGTGCAAATCTACTGTGCAAGTTAAGCTTTGCAACTTCAAAAAAGTTATTTAAATTAATCTATACAATTGAGTCCATGCCACACAAGCATTTCAAAAAACTCACAGACCAGTGAATTGGATAAATAGCCTCAGAAAGAAGTCCTCTGCAGTTCCTGCTTAAGGAGGAAAAAAAGAAAAGGAAATAAAAAGAAACAAAAAAGAGAGAGAGGGCCAGAAGTGTACAGTACATTCATGCAGGAGGATTTTTTTTTTGTTTTGTTTTTGTTTTTCTGAAAGGGAACAAGGGGGGAGGGGGTGTATGTAAATCAGCCATTCATTCTTTTCCCCAAAACCATTGTGATCAACAATTCATTCGCTTGTCTCAGAGTGAATAAGAGTTCAAACAGCTTTTCAGCCAGCAATGTTTTTAATATATATATATATTTATATATTTCGGTTGCTGTGGGGTTTTTTTTATTTGATTTTATTTGAATATATATTTTTTTTTTGCAGTGACCTTTTCAGCTAAAGTGATGTCTCCAGGCTATGTATTGGGCTTCCTGGACTAGAAGAGGTAGCTGATTTACTTGTATCAGTTGTAAGATTGATTCCACTGTCGATAGCACTGTTGTTCTTGTTCAGCGAAGACGGTGGACTCGAGTTTTTCTTGAGAGCAGAGTCTTCTTCTAGGTCTGTGTCATCAATGAGTGGGATGTGGGGCTGGGAATCTTCTATCCTAAATTCAGGATGAGTCATAAAGTTGTGAATAGAGGTTCTAGATTCTGGTTTTTCTAAACCTTCATAGAGAGAGCTACGGAATGCCTTCACGACGCGGATCTGGGGGGAGAAAAGGAAAGAGGTGTCAGAGGCGGCGCCTTGGAAGGGCAACGCTGTGTTAGAGAATACTTTGTGAAAAATGTAGCTTATGGTTAGGGCAGTGCAGGCAGCTGAAGTCCATAGTCTCTGGATGTTATATGCATAAACGAGTGGCTCAGTTATGTGCATTTTGAATATCTGTATCAACTGCAATATTAAAATAAATCAAGTTTAAAGCCATCAAAGAACTGATGGGAAGTACTGGTTAAAGAAAGCGAACGTCCACTCGTGTGGTACATCCCTAGTAAAAGACAAGCCATGTTAATTGTAATGCAAATGTAAAACCATGCATGTTGATAGTTTTGCAGTGAGTAAGTAGGAAGGCTTTTTTAATTAAAAAAGTCTCTTTTGTATTGTTAAAAAACCATTACACATAACATATCACACTTCACAAACAGAAAAGCATAGAACACAGACGTGGTTGGATGGGTACGTATGAGACACACACAGGAGCCAAGTGTAAAAACTATAAGTAATATCAATGTTTTAAAGCAAAATCTAAATGAATGCAGCCAAGAGCACAAAAAGCCAAGCAGACAAAGTACTAAGCATAATCATGCTACCACAGGGGAAAAAAAAAAAAAAAATCACAGTTACCACATGAACAGAGATAACTTGCACACAACAACTACACTTGGAAGCCTGGATAATGTGAACATAGTATTGTGGAACCAAGTTTTATTTTTCCTTCATGCATATGTGAGGTAAACACTCGAGTATAGACCCACTGTTCTAGCCATTTAACTTTTTAATATATATAAAACATGTAATAAAATGATGTATTGATTGTTGGGTTGAATTGAGTTAATGTGATTTAACAGCAAGCTTTTTCATTTTCTGTGTCTCATTTGTAAAACTGTAAAGTTAAATGCTGAAAGTGACACAACTTATGCCAAAAATGCAGTCTTTAAACTAGGACAGCTGACTGATGCCAGGGTCAATCTAATGTCATTAACCACCTGACAGTAAGAACACAGGTGAAAATAAGCTACAAGACTCAGCCCATGGGACTGGCAGGGACAGTGCAAATTGCTTTTCCAGGAGGAAAGGAGAGGAACAGAGTAAGGAGCGTTGTGGAGTGGGGACACTAAGCCCTCTGTGGGCAGGCAAAGGGAGGGATGGTGTCTATAGCCCAGTGACCTATCAGTTCTGAAAAGAGTGAAGTTTGTGCTGGTTTATGGCTGAAAAAAACATAACTTTTTGGAAGGGAGGGGGAGGCAGGGTCTGGGCAGAGAGGAATAAACAGAATGGGAAAACGTGATCTGTTGGCAAATGTTTTATGACTAAGTATGAGTTCTATCCTACTTCCATGTAGTCCATGAGCGAATTTTTAGCATTTCTTAGAGGGGAGACCATAACACAGGCAAAGGCAGAAAAGGTGCAAGCAGGCATTCTCCACACACATTTGAAATGGGTTGGGGTGGGTGGTATGTGTATCTTTTTACATGGAAATATGCTGCACATTATCAGTTGGCCTAACGCACCACTAATTTGTAAAGCTTTAATTCCTCTCTTAATTGGCACGAGGTCACAGCATTACAGCTGTGGGGTCTGACTGATTCTGTGGTTGGAGTTGTCCAAGTTGTCCAGAGTATCTGCATAAACAAACTGACTTGTATTTTGATCTCTTTGACCTTAGTCCTTGTTCATGTTCACTAAATTTGGATATTTTCATCATCTTTCAAATATGCTGATAGCAGAAGTCATGTAATCTCCAGACATGTGGCCTTTGGTCAATCCAAATACCCTCCCTTCTCTTTAGACATACATTTGGTAACAGCAGGGCACAGTACAGAAAGTAGTTCATGTGACTGCTTATGCTCAAAATAAGACTATTGGAGTGGTACAGAATGGCTTGTCCAGATCTTGCCATACCAGAATATTTTAGGAGGCTGGCAGAGGTCCAAGGCAAGAGGAATAAATTTTACACACTACAATAATATAGTGTACCTAACACCTCTTTGACAGAGCACCTGGAATTATAAACCAGGATTTTATGAGAGATGAATCTCTCTGAGTTGTGCTGTACTATATGAGCATAGAATCCTCAAATGGTTTGAGTTGGAAAAGACGTTAAAGATCATCTAGTTCCAACCCCCTGCATGGGCAGGGGCACCTCCCACTTGACCAGGTTGCTCAGAGCCCCACCAACCTGCCCTTGAACACTTCGAGGGGCTTCTAGAACTTCCTTGGGTAGACAAACAGACTGAGGTAAGAGATTCATTTGCATTACTAAAGATAGGATTTGGACTCATGGAGAAGTGGTGACACACTAATTCCCTCATCATCTCTGCCTTTCTATCCTGTATCTTAAAGTGCAAAGTAATTAGTCTAAATGATGAAAAAAATGGCAAGGCAATCTTAGAAATATGTTACTATATTATCTTACTTTAAAATCAGGAAACTTTCTGTAACATGCTTACTTTATAGTATGGGGCTGATATGATGTCACTTTCTGCAAAGCTACCTATCATTTAAATAATAAAATAAATAACAATAATAGTCATCTCAATTGCAGCTGTTTGCTGTACCCTATCAACTAACAAAATCATTTCATTCCCTGGAATACAGCTACTTCCTATTGCATAGATACAGGTTCTCTTTGCCAGCTGGATTAATTTTAATAAAGGGAATTTCTTACTTAAAAAGGTTTTTATTTTGGTATGATACTTGAATAGATCCAGCAGAATCCAAAGAAAGCAAAGCTTTTCTTCAAGTCCCACAAGCTGCATTTAAGCTTCTATAGGTTATCATGAGAGGAACTGATTTCAATTTATGAGGCTCCAAGTTGCAGGGAAAGCATCTATTTTGCATTTAATACCAAAATTTGGCATCTAATTTGCATTTCATACCAAGCTTGTTGTCAGTCTAGCCAGCTGACTAACATACTACACTCCTGAAGGAGAAAACTAGAGCTTTACTTGGTATTTGAAAGCCAGTTATGGAAACCTGCCTGCCATGGCCTCAATTTGATCCTCTGCAGGGACTGCTTGAACTAGTGATGCACTGAAAGGAAACACTGCACCAACACCTTTTGCTTAGATGTGTTTACACAAGATCTGAAGACAGAACTGCAGAATGTACATTCAGCCAGCAATCTCATCCTTGTGTGTGAAGATCTGAAGCAAAGTTTTGGCATGGACTGTTTTGAGTCTTGCAGGAGCATTTAGATGTTACTAGGATAGCTTCTACTTGTTAGTAGTGATTTTTACTGGAAATACTAGCTTAGAACTGGTTCAGATCTGCTGATACCTGAAGTAGTTTAACTTCTGAATACAGTAGTAATTTAAGGGCCAAACTTGGGCAAATCCATAAAGCTGAGAATACATAGTTAGTTTTCTCATAAGTTTTCTTCACCAAGGAGCTGTAGAAATCTATCTTCTTAAAATTTCTCTGCAGCTTCAGAGATGTATTTTTCACTTGAGAAACTCCCTCCTCAACTTTCAATTTTGCATATTTAGCTTAGCATCTAGAAGAAAACATTTATTTTTCTAGGTGTCACACCTCATTCAGTGACAGAATTTCTGTATTACAGTATAAAAATCTTGTTCATAGTCTGTCCCCCAATGTATCCGATTATTGCTTAGAGGAACAAAACTTGCTTCCTTCATTATGTTAGTGGAAACAAAGGTAGAGGGTTTGTTGGATACAAAGGTGGTCTTTTAATTTCTATCTAATACTATTACCAAATTTAAGCTATGAACTGAAGAAAATATTATTTCGTCAGCATTACGTGGCCCAATAGCAACAAAGTCTTTAAATACATGCTTAAGTTTAAGATTTGGAGTAATATCTGCTGTAAAAATGTTTAGGGGCTGTGCTGAAACAAAGCCCACATTCCTTTTTCTGAAGCTAACACAAAGCAGATGAACACCATGGTGTTATGGTTGTACAGCATGTAAAAGCAGGGACATACCCAGGATGGATAGAACCTAGAAAGTGTTGGTTTGTTATGAACTATGTAGAGTTCATGTTATGATACTTCCTCATGATGCTGACAATGCCAAGGAAAGACAAACAGTGTGATACAGCTCCCTTTTCTCACAGTAATGGAGACAACAGAAAAAAAAATGAACTGCTTTTGAACAAAAGACTGTGGGGACAACACTTCAGGACAATTTTGACATTGCTATAAGCTTCCACTTCTTTCTTCTCTGTAGCTGTAACAGAAAAAACTCTTCAGTTTCATCCCACCTTCAAAGTTAGATTTATTATACTGCATCAGGCAAGAAAAATAGAAGAAATAGAATTTTAGATACTAGAAATTTTTCCCATCAGAAGAAAAAGATGAAGTTCAGAATCTCACTCCTAAGTACAACGATCTAGGCAAAATACACAGGGCCTGTCAAGCATCAACAGATGTGTTATGGTTGATAGTGTGTGGGCTTATACTCGAATGTTTACCTGGCTTCATATAAGCCAAGTATCTTGAGTTTGGTTCACATTCATTTCAGGCTCAAGGTTAAAGACTCACAACCTCTTTTTATTTCACTCTCTCCTGCTGA